CCACTGCGCCACCAGGGAAGCCCAATCTACCCATTTTTTGACTTCTGAATTTCACTATTCATTATGCAATATATAGTCACTAGTTTCCAAATCACAGGATGGCTGAGAACATATGAAATAGTGTATAGACTTTAGTGTCCAGCACATGAGAAGCCTTCATGAAACATAGCTATAATGACGATGATCATGATGACAGTTATATGACAGTTACTGTGCTAGATACTAGAGACTTACAGATGAGTAAGAAATAATCATTCCTCTGAATTTGGTAATGGTTTCCCACTGTTGCTAGTTCATGTGTGCTTCAGTATCCTTTGTTGTTCTGTTTACATCTTGACAAATAGACACTTTGTTAATTGTTTAATTACTTTAGAATGTGACTTCTGTTTCCTGCTGGGACTCCCTAATATGGTTCAATATAAAGTGCACCTTAAAAACTTTAATATATTTTATATATAAAAATAGTGTTCTTGATTGTTTATATTTATTAAAATTGCCACTTTAGGATGATATGTGATGCTTATCCTGGGAAGTTTATTTCCCTGGCACACATATATGGACTGCAGGAGATTGTCTGTTCCCCTGGCTGTCAGATTCCACAGATGGTCCTAAGTAAGCTGAATAGAGGAGGTTCCCCCATGGGAGCTTCAAAGACTACCTTCATGTTTGCAGAAGCAACTCCCAGGACATGTTTTGGTTCTCCTCATGGAGCCTTTCTTCTCCATCTGTGGCAATGGACATAGAGTTAACATTTTGAAGGAGAGACCTTTCATTCAGATCTTAACCTTATCGCTGGCCCCATGACAAATTCCTGAAAATATCAGCTCTGCTTACTCAAGTGAAATCTGCCCATGATTTTTCTCTGTTCTTTGTATGTCTGCTACTTGTGTTTCTTCCGTGCTTTCTCAATTAAACGTCCCTGAAAAGAAGATATGACAAGGCCAATTATTAATAACAGATTACCTTAAAAGTAACATTGAAGAAGCTCCAGAAAATTTATTTATTTGAACTCTTGGAGTTCTCACGAAGTCACTGGGTATCACTTTAACAGACAAATTTTTGGAAAGACAATATAAAGAATGTGCAAGTCATGAGCAGGTTACTTAGCCAGTCTGCAATGTGATTTATTCCTGTATAAAATGAAAAGACTACTTAACTCACAGGTTGCTGAGATATTGAACAGAAAAACAAACAAGTAAAGGACATATCAACATGTTGGCACTGAATAGTTCAACAATTTAGAGGTGTTATAATTATAATTTCAATGAAATAATCTTTCATAGGGAGTCTTCTTGGATGTATTTTAATTAAACTGTTGCTGTCTCAATCGTTGGGTTGGCGAGCTGAAGGATAGCTCCAGTTCATATGAATTGCTAGTTTTAAATGATTCATAGGAATGTATCACTCACTCTTTTAAGAACTTTATTTTTATTATCCACTGATAAAAAAAAATTTTTGAGGTAGGTTGTGTTACTCCCATTTTATACATAAGGAAACAGACACAAAGAGGTTAAGTGACTTACCTGTGTTCACGTGGCTAGTAAGAATAAAGGTGGGATTTGACTCCAGGCAGGCTGACTCCAGAGCCTGAGTTCTTAACCAGTCGGATTTCTACTTCCCTAGACCTCTGGAGGTCTTTTGAGAAGCAGGAGTTGATATACTGCCTAAGAACAATGGACACTGGAGTCAAAATTACCAGACTGAAAAATATAGCTACTTAAGATCTTTTCTAGAATAAGACAGATGAGAACATTAATTATTACTTAATATCTGTTCTTGGGTAAATAGACATCATTATGTAGTGGTTCTTAACTGCTTCTTTAGTACAAAGTACATAGTAAGAAAACTTTTCTTTTTTTCAGATATGATATTAGGAAGGCCGTGAGAAATAGCATATATTCAAAGGAATTTCAAATTCTTTCCAATTGCTTAATTAAAGATGAGGTTTTTCTTATCTATTTTATGATAAGGAAGTGTGATTGGAGGATGGAAAAGGACAAATGATTCTGTGGAAGATTGTGGAATCTGACCTTGCATATCCTTTCAATCTATTTCCTTTTTCAACTTGCCCAGATATGGATAAAATGTAAGCATAAGACTGCAATTTCTCAGACTTAGAAATAAATTAATACTAAAAATAGAGAATTAAGGATGTCTGAAAAACATATGGGTTAAATGTCTTATAGCTATTTTCTCTCAATAGCTAGGAGGACACAAATACATTTTGTCTTGTTTTTATTTTAAAGTCAGTGGATAAAAATAGAGAATACTAAACACTTAGTATAGATTGAGTGAATAAAAAGAAGTTATCTTATAAAAGGAATACTTTTTGATATTTAAACAGTATAGATGAGTTGAATGTGAAAGAGTGATTTCCAGAAGCTAGGGGGAAGGGAGCCTGAGAAGTGACTGCTAATGGGAGCAGTGTTTCTTTTTGGAGTGAGGAAAATATTCTGGAATTAGATAATAATGATGGTTGCACAACCTTATGCATACACTAAAACAAACACTGAATTGTACACTTTAAAAGGGTAAACTTTATGCAAAGGTTATGTGAACTGTGTCTCAATTTTTTAAGTAATGCCAAAAAATCTATTGCTTTTGAGCCCTTAGATGTGAAAGGCCAGAACAGGTCACAGGAATAGAATTTGGAGCTGGAATCAATAAAGGAAACTTACCAAAACAAAAGCTCATGAAGCCCAATAAATTAATATATTACAATTAATGTGGCTACTCATGATTCAAGGACAATCTACTCAAAGCGACCACATTTTCCAAAACAACAACCAAAAAGAGGTCAGTCTAACCAAGTACAATGATTGCCCTGGTTCTTTAAGTACAACATGATAACTGGAAATACAATTGGATATCCAGCTGTCAAAATAGGAATATCGAGATTTCAAGGGCTTAGGGACACAGCAGGGCAGAATGTTTAGAACATAACTATTCTGGAGTATCCGAAGTTATGGATTCATTTCTCTCTGTTAGAATTCTTCATTAGCTGAAAGCAACTACAACTAAATACAGCAAAAACAAACAAAAGGATAAAATAAAAACATGAAAGAGCAAACAGTATTAAAAGAGAAGCTGAAAAATTAGGCCTCAGGAAAGAGGAACCAGGGACACCCTCCAGAGTATGTGTCCTGAGAAGTAATGGAGGGTTTTCTACAAGGAATTACCATGGACATAGCTCAGATCCAATCACTTCTCTGTCTTGTGTCATTCTGCTTAAGAATTGTATTTTCGGAAAAAAAGAGCATTTGACCATCATTTAGTTGTAGAGAAGGTGGAAAATAACCTGGATTGACAGCCCCACCTTGACTGTATAGAGTGGAAGAGTCATTTGCCAAAGAACTCTTCCCAAATGAACAAATTTTCCTGGGAACAGGAAACAGGTCATGCAAAACAACCAGTGTCAACCAGAGCCACCAGTCTTCAGCTAGTTCTACATATATTACCAATACAGGATAGAAGTTAAGAGCTAACCTGTTTGCATTCAAATTCTGGCCCCTTCTTGTATTAGCCATGTCATTGTGGATAAATTATTTAACTTCTTTGTATTTCAGTTTCTTCATTTGTCAAATCAGGGTAATAATATTACTCATCTCTTAGGGTTCAAACTTAGCCCAATATCAGGTACCCAGTAAGGAATTTATACTTCATATTTGTTATTATCATTGATGATATATATAAATAATATACATAGAACATAAATATATCTATTACAAAGTACCTATTTAAAAGTTTAGAAGATTGTGGAATGACTACAATCTTCTAAATTGGAATTCCTTGTCAATAGATGATAATAAATCAGAGCAATATAATTATATTTATTTAAAAAGAGTAGTAATTTTGCCCTAAGTCAGATTGTGTCAATACTACTCAATTTATGCAAATTAGCCAACATTTCTTGTTGTTTTATGGAGAAGCAATATTTAAAGTTACTCTTTTTTTTCCCTTTGGAGAAAGGCCATAACTGAATTCAAAGTATTTACCTTTTTATTTATTTTGTGAGCTGATGTTGATTTAGTCCAGAAGACAAACTTCACAGCATAAGCGTTTACACAATCATCTATATCCCAAAGAATGCCATATATATATATCATACATTATAAGATTTAGTTGGGACTTACTGTATTAGCCTAGTAACAATAGGAATCCATAATTTCACTGGAGTCATTAATCATTCCTGCTCTTTTAACAATAAACTCGACAGAATGGATTGTCATATAGGAGTCAATTTTCAAATAAACGTGATTAAATAACACGAAAACAAGCAAAACACAGTAGACAACCTGTATTTTTCAGTAAATTTATTCTGTTAGCTTATTCTTTGTAAGTTCAGTGGAAACTTCTGTTCTTGAGAACATCGTCTCCTTTGGTGGCTTCCAAATTCTTAGCCACAGCTGAAGGTTGTAAGTGCTCTTGCAGAAACAAAATCGATCACCTAGCTCTAGATTTAGAGGACTAGCAAAAATATAGCCATATCCCCATTTTCTGACTCTTCCCCATTGTACCCACAGAGACAGTCAACACCTCCAGCTATCGTCTCCCTCCCATTCAGAAAGGCAGCATTTGGAGGAACTGCAATGGAGTGGCTTTAATTGAACTACTTCCAACAGTCAGTGTTTAGTTACAGAAACAGAACCAAAGGAGTATTCTAGAGTGGGAATTTATTATAAAAATTGGTTCTTACACAAAGAAAAATACAAGTCTGCAAACCAGCCCCAGCACTGGGAAACGAAATGAAGCAGACTGAATCCATGGAGAGAAACGGGTTTTCCCAAACACTTATACACAAATAAACCTTCAATCATTAAAAAAAATTGACATGTATTCTAAAATTAAAGGTTAATTTTAAAATAGAAGCTAGTGGCTCTGAAAAACAATAATATTTGAACAAAATTGTTTAAAAAAGTTATAAATGGGTGGTGATTAAAATTCAAAGTTGAACATTTCTCCTAACTTTTGGAACTAAGAATAAATCTGGGGAATGCTGTTTTTCCCAGTCTTCACTAGCTTACAGGTACAAATGGAGAGATGCAATAGTAATAAGAATCTGGCTCTTGATAACATCCTCCCAAATCACTCATGCAGTCCTCCACAAAGCCTGATGTTCTTCAGTAGGCTCTTGGGTATATACAAAAAGTCAGCTTCCCCCAGGAAGCTGCTGCTTCTCTGACACTTGTACACTGGACTTTGTTGTGTCTGACTAGCATTGGCCATCTTCCTCTAGGCGTCTGGATAGATTACCACGTCCAGTGGGCTCCCCCAGCTGCTGCACCCGAAAGAAGCCATCTCAGGTCCTCTAAAGGGAAATGAGAAAACCCTCCTCACTCGTATTTTGCCTTTATGGTGGTTCCCAAGCAGGGATGACTATGACCTCAGTGTTCCTTGTGAAAACTTGACTTTCTTGCTCCTATCCATATTTCTCTCTCCATACTGCTCAGATACCAGAAAAAGGGGACAGATTTGGGAAGAGGCCACATATTGTCCTCTTCATTCCATACTCCTGGCACCCCCTCTGCTAATGATGCTTAATTCTCTGAAGCAGCACAATCCAGTAGAAGTGGAATCTGAGAGATGCAGTTTGAAATTTTTGTTTTTAAACTGTTCAGTTTTCCCTAAAAATGTAAAGAGGAACAGATGAAATTAATTTTGATAATGCATTTTATTTAATCCATTATATCCAAAGTATTATTTTAACATTTAAAATATAAAAATTATTAATGATATATTTTACTTTTTTTTTTTTTACTAAATCTTTGAAATCCTGTATCTATTTTATACTATCAGCACATCTCAATGTGGACCAGCTACATTTCAAGTGCTCATAAATGACAACTTGTACCATACTGGACAATGCAGCTCTAAAGAGCCAGGAACCTCATCCCACCTTAGGTAGATGCTAAAAAAATATTATTTTCCCATCAAAACTATGATTTACATAGGTTGAAATAGCTGAACAATTTCTTGGAAAATAACAGTAAATAATTATCACTTAATGTAACTTTTACTCTTTAGATAAATGGATATTTCACTTTCTCACTCTTATACTATCATCTTTGATATCCATAATTAATATTAATATATTAAATTCAAGGTTCCAGAGTCGTAAGACAGAGACATCTTTAGCTCTAAGAAGTAGCTTCGTCCCTTGGTGATTTTCTTTGAAGAGTAGAATTGAAAGTTCTTCCTACTCAAAATTTCTCATCAATAAATATGTCAAAAATGACAATATCTACTGTGTGCAAAAATGTTATTTCACGAGAAGTGGCTTCACTGACCAATCTCAAAATGTGGATACCTACGTTTTATTTGTAGACACTTATAGTTTGCTCTGTATGAGCTTAACCATTCATTTAAATTCCCAAACTTATGGCTAGCTGAGAACTAAGTTTTTCTTTGAAGAAGTTTCAAAGATGAAAAAGAATTATAAATTAAATAAAGAAGTGAGGGCTTTAAAGGCACACTTTTAGCACAACCTTACAACTATGCCTGTTGCCAGTAGGTCATGCTGAATGAATGTTAATGATTCTACCTAATGCTTGTGTATAAGTTACAGATGGTGGAGTGAAGGGAAGTTGTCAATTCAAAGACAGAACTTCAGACTCTACAATAAGTGATTCTTAAAGTGACTTATATTTGGCTTTTCAATCCCTCATTCATTTTATTTAAGGAAGATGAAATCTCTGCCCTTAGCCATTTAGCACTTGTTCAGAGCATTATGTAGAAGAATTTGTGGAAAGCAGCAAGAGATGCCTTCCCTGGCCATATGATCTGGACCTTAAAATTCAATCTAGAGAAATAAGGATCCAGAGAAGTTTAATTCATTTCCTATTCATATGTGGTTTACTTGCATCCTGCAAAAAACAGAAGACTTACACTGCTAGCTCCTTCTGCACTAAGGAGCAGAACATTTGCATCTTTGCAGATGATTTAACGATCACTAAGCAGCAGGAAAGAGTGCTCACCTCAGCAGAAGATGGGAATGCAAAAGCTAGGTACCATCACTGGAACGCAGCTGGGTGGTCAGGACATTGGCCAGTAATTACTATCCAGTGCAAGAGAATGAATTCTAAATGAGAGAATGAAAAGACCAAGGCCTTGGGGACTGGATTTTCAGACACAATTAACATAAATTGAGAGACAGGTTTGGTTTGGCCCTAAATACAGGAGGAGACATATTTCTAAGCTTTTGCTGTGTGAACCCTAAAATATCTGCAAAAACACTTGGATTCATTTTCTCCCAATTCTTTCACAGCTGTAGTCTGCTACTATTGCTATTGTTAATAATAACAACAGTAATATTTTCCATAATACCTTTCTCCTGAAGTCTTTAGGACATCAAGCAAGAGCTTCCAAATTCTATGAATAATATTTACATAATAAGCATGGCAAAATGTCAAATTAGTGAAAAAGAATAACGTGTTATTTTGTGATAGGAAACAAGGGAGAAAGAGATGATTTAGAACAAAGCAAAATAGAAATAGCAAAAGGAGAAATTATGTGCTGAAAGTAAGTAAACATAGCAGACAAATCCACCTTCCTTTGGCCAAACTTTTCTGGAAAAATGAGGACGTTACATGTTACTCATATATGAAAGCCATCACAGAAGACCTTCAGAATTAAAAGATGTAACTGCTTTTATTTCCTCTTATTTCAAGCTCTAAACTAGGCCAAGTATTAAAGACACCATAACCATAAGGTAAACTGGGAAGGAACTGAGTACTAGAACTTTTCACATGAAGATGAAACAGAGGTCTAAAAAAAGATAAGACAGATGGGAAGACAACATTTCTTTGAAGAAAGTCATTGCAGCTTGTCTTAGGTAGTGTTTGCCTCAACCATGTGAGACTGACTAATTAAGATGCTACCTGTTTTGTCTTTTAGATTTATGAGATTTATTATGTGCTGGATTATAATAGGCAACATTCATTGGATGGCTACTCGATGGCAGGCATTTTTCTAAGTACTTTACATGGGTTATAAATTTAATATCACAGCTTCATGGGATAAGTGGCGTTATTATCCAGCCCATTTTTTAGATGAGAAAGCTCAGGCACTGAGTTACCCAACACCACATTCTAGCAAGTTCTACAGCTGGAACTGGAGTCTGAACACTCTGACTCCAGGGTCCACTTTTAAACTACTACACTATATTTATCAAAGTTTTAGTGAAGTTTCCAGGTACTGAGGAACTGATAGTTTGACGTAGCTTTTTACAGATGCTGCATTAGAGGAAACGAGTTAAAACAGTCTATGCTAGTCTCTATCTCAAAGAAATAAAACTCTACCTACTATCAAGACCAAGTTACATCCCAGGTTCATTCCTCCCCATACAACCTTTGCCAGTGTTTGCTCCTTCTTTTCCATCTACCTTGAATCCCGCTTCACTTCACAGTATGTCTACTACATTCATATGAACTCTTGATATTATTCAATTGTATTGAGTCATATTAAGTCCTAATGGTACACTGAACATATGATACTTCTAAAAAAAAATAAAACCGTGATTTCCAAAAGCAAGCAGAAATCATATGTAATAACATGTACAATAATGTAAAGTCTTAAACACCTGTATTGAGATTTTATGCTCTGGCATCAAATGAGAAAGAACATAACTCACATAAGGTTTGCCCAAGTATTGCGCCATTGAACCCAGCCTACATCAATTTATTTTCACATTCCAAATTGTCTTATTGTTGAGCTAAAATAATTATCATCTAAGAGATGAGAAAAGTCTAATAGAAGTTTGGAACTCTCACAATCAATACTGGTTGGCATAAAGTCCCACTGGGGAACAATGAAAAATGTACTTGCTAGATTTCTAACAATAGGTCAGGTTATTGCCATGGTATTTCTGACTAATGCAGGTGCTTCTGAATTGTGCATTGAAATATATGCTGTTCTTTCTATAGGGCAATTGTTTTTGTTTCTCTGGTTTTTTTCAATTTATTTGGGAAGAATAGGAATTACAATTAACAGCTTGCAGCCTATGTTTTGATTTCCTTTTTCTGGGTAAGCTTCTTCATTAACAGCAATTTAAATGAATTTGCTGCCTTCTTACTGTACCAAGGTTTTCTGTTTGGTCCAACTGTATAGAAATATAATACAAGAAATCAAGGACAGGAAGAGTTGGGATAATTAAGTATCTTTCCAAATTTACTTAAAGCTACCTAAAAGTTGTGATTAAATATTAGCAAAGAGAATGTTAGAATCTACCTGTCTACATCATGAAAATATTAAATACAAAGATTTGGGGGTTAACTCTTGTCTCTTTCAGAAATACAGGCCAAAAGGAAATGGATTAGTGAGGCAATAAATGGCTTGAAAACGTTTTTACTTTTCTTTAGGCAATGTGAAGTCACTAAAGGGTTTTAAACGGGAATTTGGGTCATAAGTTAATTTTGGATAATTCACTTTGGTGGAAGATGGATTGCAGAAAGCTAACAACATGGTAACAAGTTAGGATGCAGTTGTATTAGTCCAGTCATTCTCAGTGGGGGGTGATTTTGCCCCACGGGGGACAATTATCAACATCTAGACACATTTTTCGTTTACACAACTGGCCATGGGGGATGCTGCTAGCATCTATTGGGTAGAGGCCAGAGATGCTTCCAAGCATACTACAGTGCATGGACAGCCTGCCACAGCAAAGAATTATTCAGGCCAAAATGTCAATAGTGTCGAGGTTGAGAAAGTCCATATTAGTCCATGCAAGAAATAATAAGAGTCTGACCCGAAGATGTGAAATGTAGAAACACATATTTTTAGGATATATAAGCAATCAAACCAATGACTAATTAAACATTGTTAGTGAGAGAAATTAAGTGGTCTTATAATGGATATTAGAATGGGTATTGGGAGGCCGTGTGGGTAAATGGTACTTACTTGCAAAAGAACAAGAAAGGTAGAATCGGAAGAGGGAGTTGCAGTAGTAAGTGGTAGGTTGGGAACAGAACATTGAATTTGAGGTGCTTGTGAGCATTAAATTTACAAGTCTGAAAATCAGAATAGAAGTCTATATTGAAGATACAGATTAGGAAGATATCAACAGATGGCAGTCGGAGTTGTGGGAATAGATAAGATGCCAATGAGAAAGGGCGTGGGAGTGGAAAGATAAAAAATATTGAGGAAGGGTGGAATAGAAAGGCATGGTTAAAAACTGCGAAGACACAGTTGGAGATCTGGAAGGAGGACGTATTCAGTTAGTACAGATCTGCTAGCCAGGAATAGCTCCAACTTTAAGCAACCGTGGCCTTCCTTGTACTCCTGTTCTCTTAATAATTATTAACCACACAGGAATTCACTTTATGTGAAAGGGGGAAGCTGAGGGATGTAGAACTGCTATTAGATGGACATTTAAAAATAAATATTCCAGAGAAACAAATATGAAAATCCTTTAATAAAAGAAAACACTTGCTACTGAAACTGAAGCAACAACTTCTAGCTGGCAGTAAAAAATTTTTGATTAATTATAACTTGTAATACAGACTTGATAAAGTTTCATGATTGAATGTTAGGTTTTAATAACTTTTTAAAAAAGCCAGCCCCTGTTTTTAGAAATGTTAACTTTTACTCTAAGAGAAATCTCCATAAATTATTGCAGAAAAGATAGAGTCTGATAGAGTATTCAAATACTATTCTGTAACTCTGACCCCAAATTAATATTCCACTTGCTTTAGCAAAATAGTCAGGAAGTAATTAAGAATATGACAACATATCTTGAATTAACATACCTTGAAATAATATATCATGGTAAAAGACTGATCTCAACCAGTAAGAAATAAGTACAAGTTGTGTTTATCTTCTGTCACAGATAGTCTCTATTTCTTAGTAACACTGATTTTACCTAAATTTATTCTCTAATAAGTCATACAGTGATACTTATTAACCATAAGCAGGTTAGCATTATTATATATAACTCAGATAAAACAGAATTAGCATCAAATTTGTTATTTTGGGCATCACACCCTAGCACATATTCTGTATGCCCACTCTTCCAAATTCTAAAATGTGAGTTTAAATAATTGAGTTTGATCCTTAGTGATAAAAGCAGAAAATAACCAATGTCAAAGTACATTTTTAAATGTATCAAGTAAAAAATGGGTATGACCCATGAGCTTTGTTCCAAAGTTTTGTGTAATTGTTTATATGACAGCCATGCCTTGATCGTCACTGAAATGGGTAGAGTAGGAGAGGCTCCATGTAGATAATAATTTAATGGACAGAGGATAGTACAAGTCATAAGAGCATTACTCTATTATTACTTAACCTTACCTTCAAATTTTATTTTCCAAGTACTCTAATACTGTCATTTCAGGAATATTTTAAGGCACTTAAATCTCTCTACTGGTTCTTGCCACCCACTGACAAAACCTGAAGCAGCTACCTTTAACATGGTTCTGTCTCACTTGCCCCAAGGAGCTGGTTCATTTCACCTACTCTATTGGTCAGCCTGGAGGATTAATGGAATAATGCTTATAAATCAATATGAAAAGCCTGATAGACACTCTGTACACCACTACCTTTATTAAAGACCATTTTCACGAATAACTATAGAGATGAGGAAAACCTTACATGTATATTTGGTGTTCTGAAATCACAATAAAGCACCTAATGTAGAGGAAATTGACATAAATTTCAAGAGCAGCAGTGTTAAGATCTATTCTATGAGTTCAAACACAATAAGTAATGAGGATACATTATTATTGCCACTGGATGATAATCCTCAAAATTCTACAAAATAAATGATTCTTCTTGCCACCCAGGATTAGTTTTTCATTTTAAAGAACAAAAATAACCCCATATAAAGCAGCTTCTGTAAATCAAGGGTTTAAGGAAATTGGATGTACCCCATAACAGAGAATATGTTATGTTAATTAGACAGTACACTCATTTAGTAGTAGCATTGATAATAATTGTAATACAATAGGGGTCTTAAAATAAAAAGAATAGAAAACCGGTTAGCTTTAAAGTTAGACAAGTAACTGCTCCTAAGAGAAAGGAAAAAAAAAAATCTCAAGATAAAATTTAAAATGTTGGTGGGTTGGAGGGTGGGACAAATGGGTGAAGGGGGTCAAAAGGTACAAATTTCTAGTTATAAAATAAGTAAGTCATGAACATGTAACATACAGCATGGCGACTATAGGTAATAATGCTGTGTTGTATATTTGAAAGTTGCTAAGAGAGTATACCTTAAAAGTGCTCATCACAAGAAAAAAAAAAAACCGGTGACAGACGTTGACTAGACTTATTGTAGTGATTATTTAACAATATATACAAATATTGAATCATTGTTGTACATCTGAAGCTAATAATAATGTTGTATGTCAGGTATACCTCAACTAAAAAAAGGGGGGAAAATGCCTTTCCTTGAAATTGACTATGATTCCAAAAATCTAGATTTTTCTTCCTTGGCCGAGTACGTCAATCACCAACGACACCTGCATTTGTTACAAAATAGAAAGCCAAAAAGAAAAAAAAAAAAAAAGAACTAATGCTTATGTAGGTGTTGTACTGCTGCTACAGTCCACCTCCAAATTCACCAGTTTTATTTCTGCCAGGCTGTCTGCTTATCCTCTAGATGGCTGTTGAATATTAATATTATTTTGAAATAATTAAGGCAGAACTTTAAAAAAAATGAATACTTTAATAAACTGAAGAAACTTTCTACAGAAAGTTATGAAAGTTAAGACATAAAAACTGCAATAACTATCATAAAGCACAGTAGCAGTGAACATAAATTCTAGAACCAGACTGTCTGAATTCATTTCCTGGCTCCACCAGTTAGTTATGTGTGACCTTGGGCAAGTTACATAACTTTTCTGGCTCTGTTTCCTTATCTATAAAATAAGAATATCAGTATACTTGCATACTTTCTGTAGAAGGAAAGAAGACAGAAAGAAAAGAGAAATATTGAAGCAAAAAAGGATTTTCTAAAAAGAATCAAAGCAGAGGGCTCCCCTGGTGGCGCAGTGGTTGAGAGTCCGCCTGCCGATGCAGGGGACACGGGTTCGTGCCCCGGTCCGGGAGGATCCCACATGCCGCGGAGCGGCTGGGCCCGTGAGCCGTGGCCGCTGAGCCTGCGCGTCCGAAGCCTATGCTCGGCAGCGGGAGAGGCCACGGCAGTGGGAAGCCCGCATACCGGAAAAAAAAAAAAAAAAAAAAAAGAAAGCTCTATAACAATGCAAAATTGTAGTTAAAATTATTCTGATGTACATAAAACTTACTGAGATAGTAAATAGCATTTAGAAACTTAATTTTTGGAAAATATACTTTTTTTTTTTTATTGGAGTATAATTGCTTTACAATGGTGTGTTAGTTTCTGCTTTATAACAAAGTGAATCAGTTATACATATGTCCCCATATCTCTTCCCTCTTGCATCTCCCTCCCTCCCACCCTCCCTATCCCACCCCCTCTAGGTGGTCACAAAGCACTGAGCTGATCTCCCTGTGCTGTGCGGCTGCTTCCCACTAGCTATTTTACATTTGATAGTGTATATATGTCCATGCCACTCTCTCACTTTGTCCCAGCTTACCCTTCCCCCTCCCCATATCCTCAAGCCATTCTCTAGTAGGTCTGTATCTTTATTCCCGTCTTACCCCTAGGTTCTTCATGACATTTTTTTTTCTTAGATCCCATACATATGTGTTAGCATACGGTATTTGCAAATGATTTTTATGAACTTTTATCTGTCTTTATTGTTTGATTCTGAAAATTCTCCATCATATTTTTTTCCAGGAGGATCTGCTTTAATCATTTTAATTCATTTATTTTTTTAATTCTATATAAATGAAGTAATAATACAGAAATCATATTACATACAAATTATTTAGAATATGACATTTTAGAAAAATGTTATGATCAAACATCCATAATTTACCTAGCCATTCTCCCTTTATTAGCGATTTGTTTGAAAATTTTGCTATTATACATAATTCCTCATTGGCTGCATTTCAGATTACTCCCTCTTTGAATTTCTGGAATAGAATTTATTGGATCCAATTTTAAGATGACTGTTTTTAATCTGCCTTGCACAGATCATAAAGCTGATTTTCAAAACGTATGGACTGGCCCCAGTGAGTACCAGTTTCACTGTTCAGCCTACAGAATCTCACTTCCTTGATAGATGCTTACAGATAACTTAAATGCCGTGTCCCTCTACACAAGAGAATTATCTCCCTTTGCAGTTGACTTTATAGTTCTCTTTTGTGCAGTATACTCATACATGGAAAAAATTCCTTTGTGGAAGATGATTTCATTGCTAAATCTTCTTAAGTATTACCCATATATACCACTCTGTAGAAAGAGAGAGAGAGAGAGAGAGATTTTGATTGTGTAGGTATTTCTTCACCATATCATAAACTGCTCACCTCATAACTGTCCAGTGAAACCCAATGATAACATCAGGTTTGTTGTATTTCCAGATGAGTGGCTCAAAGAGGAGAACCTATAGAGCATGCCATACTTGAGCACATAAATTCTCCTAGAAGTGATTGTAAGGAGAAATATTGAGAGTTCTCTCTATTATTCAAAAACATTGGTACAAATCTTCAGGAAGAAAAAGCAGATAGAAGCAGATTTGTTACATTCATTTTAAAATAATTTTAGGAATTTCTTTGAAAGTTACTGTTATTGCAATAGTAACATTATTAAGCTCCCATTATATTCTCTCTAGCGCTGCTTTTCCTTTTTAGTTTCCTCTTTAATTTCCTATCCTGTGACTTTCACATGCATGGCTGTTCTAGTCCCTTGGGCCAAGTCTTATTTTTTAAACTGAGAGTGATAAGAGCAAATACTCAGGTAGAAGTTGCTGATCTAAGTGTTTTGGGAGTATTAACTAATTTAATTATTAATACAAGTACTGAGCAGTACTCAGGGACAGACTGAAATGTCAGATAGATACATGAAAAATATTTTTTTGAAAAACTCAAATAAAATGTCAAGAGATTAAAACGACAAGGTCCGAAATGTAAAGTACACTGGAAGAGAAGAACAGCAGATTACACACTGCAGGGGAAAAAAAGTGAATTTACATAGCATTGGAAACTATCCAAAATGAAAAGCAGAAGAAAAATGATGGAAAAAAGAATAAACAGGGTATCCGTGAGCTGTGGGATAATTTCAAATAGCCTAATGTACATGTAATTAGAGTCTCCGAGGAGGGGTAGGTCAAGGAGGAGACTGAAAAAAAGTATGTGAACTACAGCTGTTATTTAATGGCCCAAAAATCTGAAAAAAAAAAAAAAAAAGAGATATTCTATTTTCAGCCTCAGAATTTCCATTTTATTCTTTTTTATATCTTCCACTTCTCTCCATATTATATTTATAGTATTTAATCCTTGAACATGTTTATAATAGGTAGTTTAAAATTGTTGCTGCTAATTTTATCATCCCCATCATTTATGTCTGTTTTTATTGTTTGATTTTTATCCTGATAATGGGGCACGTTCTTCTTGCCTCTTTGCATCCTTATTATTTCATTGGATTGCAGACATTGTAATATATTATTGCATGTCTGGCATGTGTTGCTTTCTTTCTGAGAATATTGACATTTATTTGGCAGACAGTTAAGTAATTTGGATTGGCCTAATATTTTTGAGGCCTACTTTTTACTTTGTGGTGGTTGCCCTGGTATAGCTTTACTCTAGGGCTACTGTCGTCCTACTGCTAAAGTATTACTCTTCAGGAATCTATCTTGAAGGCCCTGAGTATTCAGCAAGATGTCTCCCACCTGCCTTGTTGTAACTTATATTAATATATCCCTCAGTCCTGTGTAGGCTCTGATAACTGTTCAGCTTATGCATATTTGGTGATTCTTTACCAGCCTGATGGAATTTTATTCTACGCCTGTGCAGATTAATATTCAGCAACAGACTCAACTTGACTCCTATGCTGATTGCTGAAGCTACTTCCTGTGTATCTCTCTTCTCTTTTCATACTCTGTCCCACAAATTCCAGCCACTTTAGCTTCCCTAAGCTCTAACTTCCGTCATCTCATTTCAGCAAGACCGACGTGCTCTACGTGAGAGTCCCATCTTGGGTCATGATCTAGAATATGCCTCCAGGCAGAAAGCCAGGGAAATCATAGTGCCCGTCTTGTTCATTTCCTCTTCTCAAGGATAACAGCCCTAGGCTGCCTATTGCCAGTATCTGAAAACAGACCTTTCCTATATTTTATGTAGTTTTCTAGTTGTTTGTGATAGGAGGGCATGTCCAGGACCAGTTACTCTCATAGAAAGAAACAGAATTCAGAATTGCTTTTTATAAACTTATTTTTATAAACAGAAATTAAAAATTGCAATTTTTTGGGATACAAATGGCAAATAGTAGCAGCTGCAGAAATATCAGCTAATTGTTTTATGAATGATCTTATGAAAAATAAAATATATAGTGACATGTTCAACTTTATCTGTGTCACTAAAATTTTAAGAGAATATGTTCTGCTGACAAGGAGAAATGATAGCACCATTTTGTTTTCATTCTAAATAACCTTTTATGATGCCTTGATTGTTCTCTCTCTCTCACTCTCTTTTGGTACTTTCAAAAATATCCACAATATAATCGTCTATTACTTCCTATGTAGATGGGGAGGGGTGTGAAGGGAAAAGATGCAATAAGGTAAGGAAAACTTTGACAACTTCTAAAACCTAAATTTGAGAAAAATAAATGAGTCAAGTACCAGGACCATGGATAGCAACTCTAGTCTTTGTAATTCACCTGCACCCTGAATAGTGTAGTCAGACAATAAATAGAGTCTCTTTCTCCTAGATGTCTGCCCCATTACTCACCTAACAACAACTTGTAAAAGAGGAACTGTGGTAATAACCATACTTTACTGTTTGTAGTTTGTTATTAAAAATAATAATAGTAAGACAGATGCCTTAGTCCTGGAATCTGAATTTTAGGTAGAGAAGAACCAGCAGACATTCTTCCTTGATATAGAGAATACCTATTTAGGCAGCTTATGCTTTCTTTGCTCACCATTAGGGTTTAAGGTAGCATGAGTTCTGTAAGTTTAACAATTACAAAAAGAAATTTTGATTTTCTTTTTCACTTGCGTTTTCATTAAAGATAGTGGGGTTTTTTTTAAACATCTTTATTGGAGTATAATTGCTTTACAATGCTGTGTTTGTTAGTTTCTGCTGTATGACAAAGTGAATCAGCTATACGTATATATATATATATATATATATATCCCCATATCTCCTCCCTCTTGCGTCTCCCTCCCACCCTCCCTATCCCACCCCTCTAGGTGGTCACAAAGCACCGAGCTGATCCCCCCGTGCTATGCTGCTGCTTCCCACTAAGATAGTGGTTTTGAACCCTGGCTACACGTTAGAATTACCTGTGGATTTTTGAAAATACATGTATTTCCTTACCTTTCCTTTTTGGAGATTCTGATTTCATTGAGCTGGGGTGAGGCTCAGGTATAGCTATTTGTTTTAATCCTCAGGTGAGTCTAAAAATCACATGGGTTTGAGAGCTACCTGATGTGTGCTCCAAGAACCACCAGCACTGGCATCATCTGGGAGCTGTTCTGAAATGCAGAATCTCAGGCCCTGACCAAGATCTACCAAATCTATATTTTAGCACCTAGATGATTCATATGCACATTTAAGTTTTAGAACATTCTTTGTTGACACAGATATATTTCTTGCCTTCAAGTAATTCTGAATGTAAATTGTAGAGCATTTAGACCTGTGATAATCCCAGATTAGGCCTAGGATCACAATCAGATGCTCTTTTTTAAAAAATGCAAATTCCTAGGCTGCAATCCAACCCTGTTCAACCAGCTCCTCCAAGCACGAAGCATGAAGTTTGGGCATCTGTGTGCATATTATATGTTCCAGGTGGTTCTGAAAATTAGAGAAGTTTGGGAAATAATGTAAAATAAAGACCATAGTTTTCAACATTTTGCTTCTACCCAAAGTCCTAACCAGGCAAAGAACAAATGCTGTTATGAAACTAATAAATAATGGTAGATATATATTTGTTCTTACACAGAATTCCAGAGCATTGTGACAAAAACAATTTGATATAAATTTCACAGTTTTCTGTTAAAATAAGTTTTATGCTTCAGATATTTTTGCTGTGGCTACAATGAGGAAAAATATACATACCTGGCCATTTAAAGGTTCTGTCAGTTTAGAATTTTAGGCCATTTCTATGCAATGCAGGGGGCAGGCTTATAGAGGCTGCAGAGTGAAATGGGCAGTCTGACATGAAACTGTGGAAGAAAACTGACAGATGTAGTGAGTGTAAGAATGGCGTAACGCTGAATAGGCTGTTTTGTAACAGAAAAAAGAGAGCATTTCAAAACTAGTTAACTTAGTTATGAGACTTTAGGTCAAAAACTTATAAGTATTTGTGAATACTTTTAACACTGTAGAGACTGTCAAAAATTTATCACATGGTTAAATCACAGGTGTTTGAATCATGGAGTCTGAGAAAATTCCTGGCTTAGGAAATGGAAGTAAATAAAAATACACCAAAACAGACAGATTTTTTTTCTATACAAATATAAGTTTTTAGCATTTCTTATTAAACTATACATTTATAAATGGTTAGAAGTCATGAAAACTCTACTTTGTTATGTCTCCATATTCAGTGTATCCAGACACAAAGAATGAGATTGGAGTTAAGGAAACCTGATATTGAGTTCCAGCAAAGATACTTAATATGTGCTGTTTGTCAGTCCACTTGATATTTCTGAGGCCCAGTTTTCTCATCTCTAAAATGGAAATAATAGTACCTCTCTTGTTAGGACAGCCATATGTCTCATACCTTCTCTCACTCGTGGACACAAGCCTGATTATGGAAAAACCTTTAATTAGAATCTCAAAATTAGTGTAAAGCCCTCACAGTTTAATGCAATTACACATCACAGATAAATGTTACTGCCTTGGTTCCTAAAGTAATAAAGTCATAAAAAATTAGATACTACATCCTGGAGAGATAATGCTCAAGTGAAGTCAAAAGCACATTAATCTCATGACATCTGGCATTTGCGAAACACATACAGTTTGGGGTATGTTATGGTAATGTACTAAAAGAGTCAAGTTAGTACTTAGCTGGATTTTTATGCTGCTAAGCCTTTTAGATATTTTTTCACAGTAGCATATTTTGTTTGCTATTGATTCCCTCAGTTATTCGTTCAACAGATGCTTTTTTGAGACCATACTATGTGTCAGACACTATACAAGATGTGAAAGATTCAATGGTCAGAAGAACATTTAGGTGGGGTGAACAAGCAACAAATGAACAAATAATGTAACCCACTATGATGATGTTTAATAATAACGTAAGATGATATATCATATACCATTATAGATTGTGTTACGTGTTGTGAAGAAAATAAAGTGATTAGCTGGTGAGTAACTATACTGTCATCATAGGTAGGACTGTTCAGGGAGATATTTCTGGGCCAGTAGCATTTGAACTTCCCTAATATGAAAGAGAAAACATGTCAGCCATGAAGATACACACCAAGAAAGCATTCTTAGGTGGGAGTAGAAGTCCTGTGAAGTTGGAATATAACTAGGCAGGGGGAGAATGGCATGAATTGAGGTTGGAGAATTAAGATAGATAGATACCCAATATGCAGGGCCTTGTAGGCTATGGAAAGTAGTTTGGATTTTTATCTAAAAGCAACAGGAAGCCATTAAAGGGTTTTAAGTGATAGGCAATATTTATAAAGTAAAAGACTGGAAGTAGTCCAAATGTCCACAAATAGATGACTGGTTGAATAAATTATGGTATATCCACAAAATGTACCTCTAAACAGGAATAAGAAACATCTCTCTAATGGCTATGTATCTAGCATACACCATGAAGTAAAAAACGTAAGGTGAAGACAGGTATATACAATACGCTATCATTCATCTTCAAGAAGGGGGAAAACATGAATATACAGGCATGTACACAAATATGCCTATAATGAAAAAGGAAGATAAACCAAAACTAGTTTTAAAAAATAGGTTACATAAGGGGAGGAGGAGACTAGGGTGAAGTGGATTAGATTGGAAGTGAGACTTCTCTCTATTCTGTAGTTTTGATTTTGGAATTGTGTAAATGTCTTTATAGTAATACAACATAACAGATGTAAACAGAAAGAAATCCTTAAGAATTGAAAGCAAAATAAAACAAATGAAAAGAACTGCATATCGGGGGCTGCACCGCACAAATGGGCATTATATCAAGTAATTTTAAGCCTGATCTTAGCCAAAAGTCTGAGAAGCAATTATATCAAGTGATTTTAAAACACAGTAATTTGTATTATACGTCTTATACGTCTCCAGTGGGCTATAGCCTAAGGAGAAAAACACTCAAAGATCTTAAACCATTTTTAGTAATTATATTGTTATTCTGTAACTATTTGTGTCTCTCTATATTTGACAAATCATTTAAACACACATATTAGGATGAGCAAAAATGCTTGTGCTACTGTTGTTAGGATCCAAGACATTCACTATAAGAGAAAAGATATGCAAACGTAAGACTAATAAAGTCAAATTAATATTGGAGTTGGAGATTTGAATATGAGCTCATGGTGTATTTTACCTTCAACTTTTTCTAAGATCTGTCCAATGAGAAAGTGTAGAAACAATGATCAACACAGTAGCCATGAGCATCACTAGTGCTTAAATTAGATTCTTTAAATATCATTTCTCCTAAAGGAACCAAAGTTTTTGAAAAATTGGATGCTTCCAGGTATGGGGCAAGAAATGTACAAGGAAAGCATAGAAGACTTTATCATACCAGAAAGGGTGGAAGCATTTAGGTCATGTCATCAAAACTCTGGATTCAATCTGAAGTGGTTCAACTGGCCAAAAGACAATTTAAACAACAGCAATAATAAGTAATTAAAATAAATGTTAAAATCTATGATTTCATAATAATACCCAGTAAGAAAACAAATGTATCAGTCACCTTGTAGGATGCTAGAAAACAAAGCCATTCTTCTAAAAATCTGTAAATAAGGGAAAAGATTTCCCAGTTATCCTGTATTTCCTGTACAAATTCACCTCCACATTAACAGCTTAGATAATGAGAGAAAGTTAGTATTTATAGATGTATCCCAGCAAATAAATGAAAAAATAGTGTAAAATTAGCATATAACCATTTTGCAACCCTTAATAAATAGTAGATTTAGTTTACAATCATCAGCAATAGCTAAAACTACTAACTGAATTATAGGTGGAGACCATTATTATGAATGTACCAGGCTGACAAAACCTTAACCTACTGATCACTTTTAACATCTCAAAAACAGTGACAGAGTGTGACTTTTGATGTGTTGTACTAGGAAATACAAATATCACCCATGAACTATTCTTGCCACAACATGAACCAGAAATCCTTCTAGTCCCTAATCTAACTACCAGGTTTCAGAAAACATATGAGTCAAAGAAAAATGGTAAAAGATGCCATTATAGAGGACATGCAATCACAAAAGTTTAGAGTGAGGGACACTACAGATCAAATGAACATATAGTTAAAACAAGTGATAATTGGGCTTCCCTGTTGGCGCAGTGGTTGAGAGTCCGCCTGCCGATGCAGGGGACACGGGTTTGTGCCCCGGTCCGGGAAGATCCCCGGTCTGGGAAGATCCCACATGCCGCGGAGCGGCTGGGCCCGTGAGCCATGGCCGCTGAGCCTGTGCTCCGCAGTGGGAGAGACCACAACAGTGAGAGGCCCGCGTACCGCAAAAAAAAAAAAAAAAAAAAAAAAACAGTGATAATTGATGATAATGGATTATTGAATCCGGATTCATTGTACTATTCTCTCTACTTCTGAATATGTTTGACATTTTTCAATAATGACAGACATTTAAAAGAAAAAATAAGAGGCATGTGAAGCTCTCACTTACATTTAGGAAATTTAGCAGAGGGGCATAGTTGAAAGCAGTAAGACCAGTTAGGAGGTTTCTGTAGTGAGGCAGAAGAGAGATGATGGTGGTTGATACTAAAAAGTGGCAGTGAAGATTGAGAACTGAAAGGATTTGATATATTTAGAAGAAGGAGAGTCAGTAGTACTTCTAATTGATTGGATTGGGGGTTGAAGGAAAGAAAGTCCTCAAGAATACCTCCCAGGACTTCTGTTGGAAATGTGGGTCGATGGTGATGTCTTTTGCCAAGATTGAGAAGACTGGGAAATGGTGGATAGCCACATGGAAGGGTGAGATAAGAAGTAATCAAGAGTTCCGTTTGGCGCATTTTAAGTCTGAGACATCTATTACACATTCTTGATTGTAAATAAAAACAAATCAGAACAAAGAAGTCTCTTAGAATGTGACTAGGTAATTATTATGCTTTGATAACTTGATAGAAAGGCTGAACATTGACAGAAGTAGTTCCCATTGGGGTACATATTTATTTATATCCAGCTTATCTGAAGTCTTAGCCAACTAATCTAAAAACATTGAGCATTGAGTTTCCCTTATATTTTCTGAATTCAGCGAGAACTGATTAACCCATTTAGAAAGAGCTGAACCTATCTTTATATGTAGCTAATTATGTTCTAATGCATACATTCAGCAATGCCATGAGGCTGTCCATCTGCAAACTGCCAGAAATAAGCTGTCCAAATTCAGAGAATGTCTTATTTTAAGGCTTAAAAATGACACTGATTTAAAGATTGCTTTTGCTGATTTGATAAACTGTAAGTTGAAATAATTACATTAATGTAGCACATTGTCATGCCAACAATTTTTCTAAAAAGATAAAAGAAAAAACATAGTTGCCTTTAACCTGTATGTGTTAACAGAATAAAGCGTGGTTTTGAAAGTCAATTTCTGACCACCTTCAAAGTGCTACACTAGAAAAAAGTGAGTGGAAAAGAAAGTGTTAAGTGTCAACTTCCCCTAGGTGAATGACACCTTCTAGGACAATGTATAAGGGTAAGAGATTCCAAGGATTGGGAAAGAAATGCCATTTTTAGGTGGTCTCCCGCAGTTGTCTCTTTACCAAGAGTGGGTAAAAATAGCAAAGAAATAAGGACACAGTTCAAAAGTTAGTAGGATAGTCAATCCATACAAATGACCCACTTGGGAGGTGAGACTGCACTGCAGACGGGGAAGAGTCATCAATGAAGAGCCCAGGAAACAGGGAGAAGCACAAGGCCCTGAAGCAAGGCAGAGGAGAACTAATTTTGAGAGTTTCAAGCCCTTTCCAGGGGAGTTCTTTGACAGGAGGCTTAGCCTGGTCCCTCGAGGGGCTAAAGGGTATCATCAGATGCTACTCACCGCCACAAGTCTTCTGCCTTCAGGATGGGCCCTTTTGTCTTTTCCTAGTGTTTCCAAAATGGAGAAATATATAGATGGTTTCGTTCTTTCTTTCTCAACTTTGACCACAGTTTTAATCTCGACTTCATTAGAACACCATCTATTTGTCATCACCACAACCAGCAGTAATAAGAAAAATAATTCCTACAGTAGTAAATCCTTGCTTAACAGATTTTTATTTTAAAATAGGCTTGACTTTTTTTTTTCATTTTAAAGAAAAGTTTTTGGCAACAGGTAGATCACACCTGAATCTGTTGGGTTCTATATTTTTAAACAGTTCTGACATATTTTTTTTCTTTTTATAACACATGCTGAGTGGGAATGGATCATGGCCAGTCCTAAAATACGGGACTGGGCAGCTCTTGGAATTTCAAAGGCAGTACAGTCATAGCAAGGTTTCTAATAGGATGAATATAAATTAAGAGAAATATTTTATTTATTATTTTTAAAGTTTTATTTACAGAAAGACTTAAGTAGACATAAGTAAATCAAAATGGGAAATGTTTCTGGTTTAAACAAACATTGGAATTTAAAACAACAAAAATTTTCTAACTTATAAAACAACTCAACCTAAAGTTACTCAATGAGAATTTAATAATCAACAATAGTTTTTCTTTGAAAAAACTCATGAGTCATAATGGTTCACAGTACAAAGTAAGTGACAGGCCAAGATACAAAATAGCTTTATTTTGAATTTTCTGGTCCTTGTCAAGTTATTCTTGATTACATCTGAATCATTAAAGCTTAGAATATTTTTTTAATGCTGATATGTGATGGCCCTAGTCCCTGAGTGATACCTGGCAAGAAAATATGCCTAATATTCATAAATCAGAGCCATGGCGTTTCAAAAAAGAAAAAGAAATGGAAAGGGAAATTTTGCTGTTTTTAAGGACATTAATGTTGTTGGGTGGGTATTTGATGGCCCAGAAAGGGGTGGTAAGTTTCTAGGACTTTTGGCCTTGAATAGAAGACCCTTGGGTTACCTGAACTGACAAACTAATGCTAAAACAATTCTTTTAAACAAACCATCATGAACCTCACACGGAAGGTAAAAACCCATCACAGTGCAGCTCCACAAACAGCCTGGTGTTGTCAAATTGCAGGTAACCTCGGCAAGGTTTTTAGTCCTCTAATGCTTTCGCTTCCACACAAGGGACTGTAAAAATAGGAGCTCTTGGATGCATTAGAGGAGACCTTTCTCCTCTCACTGAACAACACTTTATTTTGCTTCATTCAGTGATCCAAGCATTGCCCCTTTACTCCCGTCACAGTGTTTTCTATATTAACACTATTTTTTTTCAGATGCATCCATCTAGACCATCCAAATCTGTACATATTAACATTGCTGAGCAGCAACTCTGGGAGGATGTTCACCCTGACCTTTCCTTTTCCTGACACAGTCTCCATAACAGTTTCCATTTCCAGGTTTATTTTTGATATCATAGATGTTGCTATAACAGCCAACAGCCTTTGCCTTTAGGTTTCTCTTCTCAACTCTAGAAATAATTCCTCCTCTAACAATTGATGGAGTGAAAAACCTGTGAGAATTACAGGCGTCAGTGCACTGGAAATTTTCTCTGCTTATTGTATTGCCCAAGTACTGAAAGATCAAAATATAGGTTTACGAACAAAACTATATTGGCTAAAACCGTGCGTTTTCTACAAAATTCTAGCTTTCCTTTTTTCCCTTTCTCTTACACATACCCAAAATTACATACATAGATAATTTTATACTTCATTAAGAAGTGTTTCTCTATAAAATTTCCTTTATTCAGTAGCACACAGTAAAAAGAACTTGGTGAAAAAAAACCTGGAAATAACCTAAATATCCATCCACAGTAGACTGCGTAAATGAACTGTTACATTCATACATAAAATACTATACAATATGAAAACACAATGTGCTACATTTTCTTTTAATAAAACATATATTAACTAAAATAAACCAAAGGAGCAGAGTTGAATGTACAGTATGCCATATATTATAGAAATAATTATGTAAGTGTTTATATACAGTCTGCCATATGAATTAGAAGTATTTAAACAGATACATAAGAAACTATTCAGTTGCCTTTAGGAAGTAGATATAGGGAACATTAGTTATAGGTGAGTTGAGATCTTTTATTTCAATTCTGTCTGCTCTTTTTAGTTTTGTTTGCCATATTCATATATTACTTGTATTAGACATATACATTAAAAAGAAGGCTTACCTGAAGACAGGAATAAAGACACAGACCTACTGGAGAACACACTTGAGGATATGGGGAGGGGGAAGGGTGAGCTGTGACAAAGCAAGAGAGAGGCATGGACATATATACACTACCAAACGTTAAGGCAGATAGCTAGTGGGAAGCAGGCGCATAGCACAGGGAGATCAGCTCGGCGCTTTGTGACCGCCTGGAGGGGTGGGATACAGAGGGTGGGAGGGAGGGAGACGCAAGAGGGAAGGGATATGGGAACATATGTATAACTGATTCACTTTGTTATAAAGCAGAAACTAACACACCATTGTAAAGCAATCATACCCCAATAAAGATGTTAAAAAAAAAAAAGGCTTACCTGGATTTTTTTGAACATTCCAACTGACATCCAGTTCAATTCCATGATTACTGAAAAAAATGGAGGCACACACATTATATAGTGTGGTGTTGTGGAAGGAAACTCCAGAACTTTAGATTTTATTGAACATGTCATTTTATGACCATGTGTAAATCACTCATCTACTGATACCTGATTTGCCTCATCTGTAAAATGTGAAAAAGTAGCTCCATCTACCACAACTTTCATTTACCACTCAGTGTTGTGATGGAAATAAAGTCCCTTGTGAATCTTGCAGGGCTACCGTATACAGGTGTGAAATTTTGTAATAGAGATCATGTTCACTTTCAGATCTCACATTAATTGAATCTGACTTTATCCCAGGATTTTCACATTTGTTCTTACTTGGTATTTTTCAGTGGGAAGCTATATTCCACTAACATCTGAGTAGTAAGAAGAACCATGATCACGATAGTATATGCCTAATCTAAAATTGCAAATTCTGGTAACAGGTACATAAATGAATAAACTGTATTAATTGAAAAATGTAGTTAATAGATACATGACATTGTAATAAATTCACTCGTAAATTTTTCTGCTTACCTACCTATAATAATAACAAAAGTTGTTGTTTACTAAATACGAAGCATGGTCCAGAAACTTAATGATGTTATATTTGTTACTTATTTCTCAGACCACATTTTTAGGTAATTATTACTAGTATCATTGTTTGGGTAAACAAAGTAAGAGTGAATAATGTTAATTTCCTTGTCCTGGGTCACACAAGTAGTGACTGAAGTCTGATTATGACTCAAATCTGTCCAAATATCTTTTCCCATCCTAAACTATCAGGCTTAAACCAAATTTCAACCCACATCCATCTCTCCACCTCCTATTATCTTAAGCGACACCACCAACTATAATGTCTACTCTGAGGACTGTGATCTTTTTTTTAGTGGGACTATAAGTAGAAAATTCTACCTTTATGGAAATCTGGTAGTTCTTTTAAGGAATATTATTCATACTCTATAAGCCAAACTTTTATGAATTTACCACGTTTGTAACCAAACTTTCAGAGATGGGGACATGACTTTACACTCAGAGGTGCTCATTTTGCCATCATAGCAGCAATTCATGTGTCTAACACAAGTGTCTAACACAAATATCTAAATATGTAATACATCTTGGTATTGAAGTACATATGGAATGATAGGCAGCTTTTAATAATCATTCTTTTGTAAAACTTTTAGTGATACTGAAAAAAGTTTATGACAATGCAATGTAAAGTTGGAAATACATGTGTGTATAAAATAGAAAAAGATGACTGCTAGGAAAATCATCAAATTATAAGCATGTAAGTAGTGGTTGTTTCTGTTTTCTTCTTAATATTGTGGTATGTATTTAATATTTACAAAAATAAGAATACATTATTTTTATAATTTAAAGAGTTTTTTTAAAAATTAAGATAAATAATATCTAATCATACCAAATCTTTCATTCTTAAGTTGCTTCATTCTCTTTAAGCTTGAGACTCTAAGCATACGACTATGCAACCACCTCTAATAGACAAAATGAAACGAAAACAAAGTTTTATGTGTAAAATCTTTGTCTTATATTGCTTAACTGTTGGTACCCTTGATTCTTAAAGACTAGAGATTTCTGATGTTACATTTCTTCTATAAATATTTCTAAGAACCATAATACTCATTGAATGTTGGAACAATATCTCTAAATGCCTAAGGTAACTTCCATTTTTTAAAACATGAACTACAGTTGTTCATTTTATTAAACTTGACTCTATTTCCAGACCTTTGCTATAATGCAGTAAACTCATTTTTGTGTCTTTGAGCACACATGCAAGTAAACCTAAAACATACAACACCTTGCTCCACCATTGCTGGGTCAAAAGGTGTGGTCGGTTTTAAAGTTCAGACACTGCTAAGGTATTATCCAAAGGTAATGCACCTGTATATATACTTGTATATACATATATAATTTTTTTTCAACCCTTTAAAAATGTAAAATAAATAAAAAATCTTAGCTCATTAGTCATACACAGTATGTTTTGGGTAGATCCTCTTTAGACCTAGAAGTAACACTTCACTTCTGCTCTTGATGTCTTGGTGAGAACTGGTCACATCGCCCCTGCTAGATGTGGGAGGACTAGGAAATGTGGTGGACTTGTATGCTCATTAAGAGAATGGGGTTGATCCAAATCTCATCAGTCCTGCCATCAGCACCATTTCCTTAGGCTTTGCTTAGAATTCTTTTTGACCTTGGTTTAGGATAGGATCCCTCGTTATTAAATACATGCTATCTGGGGCTCCTGACATCCATAATACTTTTCTTGCTACCACTAATTAATGAAAGGGGAAATGATTTACTGGCAACCTAGAGAGAATTAGTATAATCCAAGAGTTTAACCAGGTTTCATGTTCAATTTCTCACTTATTTCAGTGATTGAAGGAAGAGGGTGAATGAATAAATCATTTCAAGAATCCACAAGTCTTAATTCATGTCCAAGAGGGCAACAGCAGTGTTTCCTGCCAGGTGTGAGGAGCGATTCTAGTTGGAGTGTCAGGGAATCAGGCTGATTAAGCAGCTTTGAACTTCTATTCTCTTTCTGCATCTAAGAACCTGAGGAAACTGAACAGATTTTGTATAACTGTGGCAAATAAATCCTCACCTACTTCTGAATTCAGCAGATATCAAGGTTAAGTGAAAAACAGAACAATTCTAGATAATCATTTCAATAAATTTGAAGGGATGAATTTCTATAATAAAAAAACAGCTGAACTTTTCATAAATAAATTCATAATTATTCTAAAGGAATTAGTAAAAAATTAAATGCCTGTTTATTTCTGTTTATTCACATCTTCGTAATTTCAACAGTGAAAGTAATTTTATAGAATAGTATTGGGACAGTTACCAGAGGGGAAAGTATTTGGAGAAACTGAAAATCACTCTATGTTTGTTGTTCTAAAAAAATGTCATTTTCTTCTCCCAGGGGAACACATTTTTGCTGGTTTTTGCTGTGCTGTCACAAGGTACTTTGTACTTACCCTGCAGTCCTCAGTAAATACCAACTGAATGACCTCTGAGGGAGATGACTTTAATTCCACCTCTGTTTCTAATTTCCTCACCAGCCAATTCTTGATAGAAAGTCTGAGCTTTAATGATACAGGACAATAGAGACAGTAACATTATACTGCCTTCCATAGAGAAATGGGGGGAAATTTTTTTTAAGAACAACATAGTGCAGTTTCTTAGGGCTACATCTTTGCTATACTCTGCTTGCTTTGAGACGGTGAGCCTAAACCAGCATAACTTTTTAAAGAAAGTTCTGGATGACTGAACTCATATTTCTCCATACAGCTTGCCATCTGTCCTTTTATAATTCTTTTTGTTTTTAATTTGGTTACATCCTCAGAAAATCCTAAGATTTCCATGTGAAAGTTATGCCATAAAAGATGCTGTTTGAGGGCAGGGACTGACTATGGCATGCATTTGTAATGCTAACATTTTCTAGTGCTGTGGTTTTCACACAACGAAGGCATAATATTTAGAATGAGGACAATTTCTTTTCTCATACAAGAGGCTTTTGATTGAATCAGTGCACATGGTTATTGTGCTGCAATAAGTATCTTTCCCATTCCAAAATTCTTCGCTCTCACCCTTTACCTCACTGGGAACATAACACATGCTCACCTACCCATCCAGCTGAATAAAAAACGTACTTCTCTTTTGAGTGAAGAATTTAAAGTTGTAAAATGAAAATTTCCAAGGGTTCCATCTTCCTCTGAAATCGCACTGTCCCTAATCATACATGTTTTTATGAGCTTTAATACTGTACATTGGATTTTTATGCCCCATCTTCTTCCAGCTGATCACAAACTCCTTAAGATAACAAGCATTTATCAGTCTATTTTTTCCAGAGCACCCAGCAGAAATCCTTGCACATAATAAATATCCAGTAAGTGTGTGAATTTTATATGAATATAAAAGTAAAGGGCAAACATTTTTCCTTAAGTTATTTCCCAAACTAGAGATTCAAATAGTTGAATGATTATTTGAGGAACGTCCAAAAACTAAGGTAAACAGGCTTTTTTTTCTTGGACACGATCATTGTGAACAAAAATGAAAGTACTATTCTAAAGATTAGGTAATACATTACTTTCTAGTTCAAATATCCAAGGCCTTAAAAGAAGCTGTTTTATGAAAATGGTGCATGCTCTATCTTCTGTTGCTGATCACTTTTCCCTCACATTTCCCACAAATATTTACAGAATTTAAAATGATGAATAAATGAATGTCAAATTAAAAATATCTCTTCTAGGCCTTCTCCACCTTGAGAAGCTGGATCACAAGCGCTAAAGCCATTTCTGCTTCCCTGTGTACGTGTTGCTGGCTGGTTAGATGGCTGATAAAGTACAGTAAGCCCTTATCCTCAGAAGGTGCATTGCTCAAAACCTGATGTGAGTGAAATACGCCAGACAGAGAAAGTCAAAGACTCATGGTATCACTTATATGTTGAATCTGAAAAAAAAAAAAAATCAAACTCATAGAAATAAAGAGTAGAAAAGTGGTCACCGGGGACTGGGCAGGGGTGTGGGGAGCATGGGGGAAATAGGAGAGGATGGTAAAAGGGTACAAACTTTCAGCTATGAGATGAATACGGTTGGAAGGTTGGAGGATCTAATGTAACATGGTGACTATAGTTCATAACACTGTATTATATAATGTAAGTTTGCTAAGAGAGTAGAAATGAAATGTTCTCACCAAAAAAAAAGAAAAATCCAAAAAACCAAATGCATAGATATATACATATATATGTGTAAACAGATAGATAGATATACCTCAGTAAAGCTAGAAAAGAAAACTTCATGTATACAGACCATAAAAGTCACTGAAACAAGATGTCATCATGGGAAAAAACAGTAAAACTTGTCTCTTTTCAGTTCAATGGTCCACGTTCAAATATTATCCACACAAGATTTCCCATCTCACTGCCTGGGAGGTATTTGAAGTTCAAAGATACCAAAAATGTGACAAAACAGAAAACACCTCTAAA